TATATATATATGTATATATGAAAAATATATAAAAATGTATGTGGGTACTCAAATGAAAGCTCTTGATGAGTGTAACATCGGGATGAACTTATACCTTTAAAAACGTCGATATTTAAGAAACTACAGGTCATTTTAACAAAATCCATTATTTAATAAATCAAAATTTTATTTTTTTATAGTTCACAACTCACGGCAGTCACATAGTGACTGCAAGGTTGCTAGTTTATTTTAATGTCTTAAAATCACGAGGTGAGAAATAAACTGAAAGAGGTTGAAGCAAAAAATATGATGGAACAAATTAAAAGTGACACTAATGTTCTCTTCTCATCATCAGATCAGACGTAGAATGAGATAGAGCCAGTGAATAGAAACTGAGGAAGGATTTTAGTAGAATAGACATTGAGAAGAAATAAACGATCCGCGAGATCGAGATAATTGCGGTCTGGATGAACCGCTATAGTTGTAATATATAACTAAAACTATAACCGCGACATGCTACGTATATATTTATAAACATATATCGAAAGCTGTGATACGGAGCTGGTGCCCGGCGAGATATGTCGTGTGGGCGGACGAGCATCTCAACCCACAGTCGGAAAAAAAGAAGGAAAGGGTGCGCCGGGTTCAGGAAACTCAGGACACTCTGGAGCTGTATGTACCTCTTCTCCATTACACGCAAACACCAACACACATTTTATTTAACTCTCCTCCCATTCCCCTCGTCTTCTATTTTTTATTTTATTTATTTTCAGTCTGGATGTCGTTCGCGCTTCAGCTTTCAACGTGGTGTGGGGGTGGCACTTCCTGCACGTGCGGTGATTTTAAGAGATCAATCACCGTGAGAAATTATATTACTTGTTACTTGTCGCTACACCGGCTTATCAGTCTGGGTGAGTATTTTAATTAAGTCTTACTTATCGCTTACAAGTATCGACTCTATTTATTTATTTTTTTTTTTTTAATGCATATTTTAGTACCTATGCATGTTAAATTGATAAAACCGGAGATTTATTGGCTGAAATTCAGCAAAAATTGCGAGATAATTAATTTAGAATTTGAATTTCCCGCGAAAAGTTTCAAAAACTAACGCTAGATAGCAGAATTCGTCTTTTCCGAGTTTTCTTGTCGGTTTTAATGATTTTTTTGGGAAAAACAATAGAAATTAATACATTCAGATCGCGATTTTTTGTAGGGACCTTGTATTAACAACAAAGGACCACAAATAAGAAGAATTTTGAAGATTAATGATGTTCTTCAAAAGATATAGTGTCTTAATAGTTGTGAAATTAACCAAAAAAACCCTACTAGGTTTTTTTTTCAACTAAACTCTCTACTTTTTGCCTTTTTCATGTAAAATATCGAAAATACAATACTTTTTTGTAGGAAATTAAATTTTCTCGGTATTTTTCGTCCTTGAGCATGAATAGAAGTTCAAAATCTGAAAAATATTTCCACAGAAAAAAAGAGTGTCGGAAAATAAAATAATTAAAGTTCGAGACTCAGTGAAGCATGCAAGAGAATGTACTCGGAATGTCTTTAGCTGGAAAGCGAACAAGGGAGTAAATAAAAAAGGAGCAAAAAAGGGACATTAGCATACCGCGTAAGATATAACGGAGATCTTATAGGTATCTGTTCTTATTCTTATTCCGTTTAGTGTGTGTGTGTGTGTGTGTGTATTGAGTTTTGGTATCTGTGTGTTGTAAAGTGACCTGGAGCCGTCTATCAGTTGAGTCCCTATTCACAGGCGCCAGCAACAATTCCCGAGAGTGTATTTTAACATAAAACAAAACAAAACAAAAGCCGTATATACGATACGAGATCACAAAAACAAAATGGGCATTGAGGACACTGGAGCAAAAGAAAAAGCGCGGAACTTTTAAAAAGCTATTATCGTTGCGTTGCAAGACGCATACGTGGAATTATTTTCGCTATCCAACGCTTGATAATGATAACTTTAGACTTACTTTTCTTAACATTGTTAGATAACTAATTGGCGAGTACTTGTTTCTGGTGTATAATACCTTCTGTAGTAGATAACTTTTTTTCCTGCTTTTAAATTGTGTCAATGATCGATTCGATTAAAGATAGCGGGTTAATGTTTGCTTTGTTATCAACTAAATTACGAAACTTATCGGTTGTTTTCAACCTTTCTGTTCAGTTACAGTTCGTTAAATTCTTCTACCTTACTAAAACACTATACATTAATCTACAGCAGAGCTAGCATTCCATTTCCAACTAATTCGTCATCGGAGCTATCTAAATCAAAACACTCACGTCATCCGATTATTCTAAACACAACTACACAGCAATGCTGAGTAGTGAGTATTAGAGCAACCATCAATGAAATAGGAAACTAAACCACTGAACTGACTCACTACTATATATGGGATTTTCCATCCAAGATCTCGCTTCCCAGTTTAGCATGTCTCCATATTCGTAGGGTCGAGGCCCTTACTTCCGTTGCATCAAGTAGGGTCAGCAGACATCTGTTGAGCATTTCGTTTGAGGACTGGGTGTTGATTCTATGTGTTATATTGTGTGGATAAGATGCTGGCACTGGCATACTCACACTCTTGATTTTATATTACAATTTCTCATTGCGTGGTCTTGGGTATGAGAATTCAACGATCGCTTGATCATTAAATTCAAGTCAAGGCCTCGACTCCTTCCATCGTTACTCGTAGTCTAAAGGTTCCAAGTTTTTAAACTTGTTCTTTATGATGTTAATTAGATTCATTGCATTCTTTAGTTGTTTAAAGTGATTTAAGGATCATTTTGTTCCGTTTTGTCTTCTTAGTGAAATTAGTTTTGTATCATTCTCGCCGATAGTTAATTTATGATAAGTTTTATGGCTGCATTCAAGAATGCTCCATTTCTAGATATATAATTAAGAAATGACCTTATATCTTGTGAAATATTGACATTTTTAAGGATATAAGCTCATCCTGATGTTACACTCACCAAGAGCTTTCATTTGAATACCCACATCAATTTTTCATATATTTTATATATTTATATATATTATATATGTATATATGAAAAATATATCAAAAATGCATGTGGGTATTCAAATGAAAGCTCTTGGTAAGTGTAACTTAGGGATGAGCTTATATCTTTAAAAACGTCAATATTTAAGAATGTACAGTGCAATTTAGCAAAATTCATTATTTAATAAAGCAAAATTTTGTTTGAAACTTTGGAAGACTCTTTATTGATGAGGTAAAATGTCAATTGATGCTCTTATCTTGCTATTAATTTATTAAATGTTCAATCAATTTTTGGCGTATTGATTAGAAGAGTGTCAAAATAAAATCGAGTGAACATAAAAATACATAACAAGTTTATATATAAACTCATGTGTAAATAAGTAGTATGTAGAGCTGTGA